CCCCTACTCATCATCAGTCATAATAGGAACCACATGGGCCTAAGCAACTGTAATCGGCTGGGATGGTAGTGCCCCCGGTGTCTGGAGTCCCTGCATCACCTGCTCTGGTGTGCAGGCGGCGGGAGTCTAAGTACCTCCCCCGGCCTGAGAAGTTGCTGCTGCGGCCGGAATAGAGACTGCCTGAGCAAGACTAGTGCACACAGTCAGAATCTGAGCTAAGGCCTCCTAAAGGCCTAGAATCACAATGGGCGTAACTGGTGCCTGAGCTGGCCACACTGGCTCATCCACAACAAGAACATGCTCCTAAATTGGGGAAACTGGTGGATCTGGAGGTGCTGCCCTAGTTATTGTACGAGCTGCACCTTTGCCCTTACCGTGGCCTTTACCGCGACTTCGGCCTCTCGCAACCCTACTTGGTGGAACTGGTAGCTATCCGTCATGTCCGGTAGTACGTGTCACCACCATCTGTGAGAGAAAATAATTACAGAAGTTTAGTTACCGGAATCAACAAACCCGCACGACAAGAATACAAGACTGTGAAGTTTCCTAGGGGTTCGGCAGCCTCTCGAAGATAAGTACAGACGTCTACCGTACCGATCCGCAAGGCTCTACTAAACCTGCTCATGACTCGTGAGACCTATGTAACAGGGTAGAAAGATCCCAAAACACAACGCGGAAAAACAACTCCCAAATTGGGGTGTCACGGAGTACATGAGCGTCTACATGTCACAAGTCTGGAATACACTGCCTAAGATAGTTTGAAACTAAATATAATAAAAGGAAAGATAAGAAAGGAGAACCAAGGACTGCGAATGCCAGGCAGCTACCTCGAAGTCTCCAAAGATCAGCTATGCAAAGTATCAACACCCACCGTGTCCAGAAACACTTGAATTTGCACAAGAAGTGTAGGGTGTAGCATGAGTACAACCAACTCAGTAAGTAACAATACTAAATAAAGAACTGAAAGTAGTGACGAGCTCTACAATTCTAGTTCAACTTCAGTAATTTCAACATAGGAAGTTAGGCATGCTTTCAAGTTCGACAATTTAGGCCAAATCAGTTATCTCATTTTAATTCAAGTAAAACAAAATATAACATCTTTGAGAAAACTTCCAGACAGTGATATATGGCAGCTAAGTGCAACAATAATGCAGTTAAGAGTCTTCTCTCAGAGCAACAGTCACTCAATCTTTCTCAATAGCTCAGCACTCGGCACTCGGCACTCGGCACTCGGCACTCGTACTCAATAGGTACCTGCACTCACTAGGGGTGTGTACAGACTCCTGAGGAGCTCCTTCAGCCCAAGCGTTATATCGCCGCAGCGTGCAGCCCGATCCATATATATACAGCCCTAAGGCTCGTTGCGGTGTGCAACCCGATCCACATATATATATATATACATATCACTCACAGCTCGGCACTCAGGCCCTAACTCAGTCAGCAACCTCTCCAGTCTCTCGGGCTCTCAGAAATCATAAAATCCACCCAAACAGAAATAATGTAATGTATCAACAAGAAACAAGAAGAGACTGAGATATGATACGCAAGTAAAATTGTGACTGAGTACAAGACATTAATTAGAAAATAATTCAACAAGTACACGACCTTTGCGAGTCCCAACAGTATCAACACATAGCCTAAACATGATTTCTAACATGATTTGTAGTCAAATTTCTATAACACATGGAGAGCATATAGCTAACAACAAGTTATTCAACTTTACAGTTCCATGAAATGGACCATGTCACAATTCCTACTGTGCACACCCACACGCCTGTCACCTAGCATGTATGTCACCTTCAAACTAATCACATAACACATAATACGGGGTTTGATACCCTCAGAACCAAATTTAGAACTGTTACGTACCTCAATCCGTGCCAATCTCTACTCAAACACGCCTTTGCCTTGTGAATCGCCCTCCAAATGCCTCGAATCTCATGAATCCCTTCAAAATCCCTCTCAAAAATCGCCCAAATCCAGTGTGCGAAGTCAAGAAATGATAAAACCCTCGAAACCAACCGTTTATATTATGCCCAGGCTTTTCGCATCGACAGCCAACTTACCCGCACCTGCGGACCTGCTTCTACGGTTAAACATCCACTTCTACGAAATTCACTGACCCAGCGAGCCTTCGCTTCTGCGACCCTTGCCCCGCATCTGCGCAATCGCATGTGCGGAATTCATAATCGAACATGCGAACCTTCCGCTCCTGCGCCCCTAATGCAGCATCTGCGACCACGCAGGTATGAAAAATGACCTCGCACCTGCGACCTCTGCTCATCTCCTCCTTGCACGCTTCTACGGCTCCTTTCTCGCTTCTACGAGCTCGCATCTGCGGTTCCCACTCCGCAGGTGCGATTACACCAGCAGCCGAAATCTTCAGCAATCCTTTAAGTTCAAAACTTGATCTGTTAACAACCCGAAATCAACCAGAGGCCCTCGAGACCTCAACCAAAAATACCATAGAGTCCCAAAACATCATACGAACTTAGTCGAACCCTCAAATCACCTCAACCAACATCAAAAACATGAATTGCATATAGATTCAAGCCTAATGAACTTTGAAACTTCCAATTTCTACAACCGACGCCGAAACCTATCAAACTACGTCCGATTGACCCCAAATTTTGCACACAAGTCACAAATGACACCATGGACCTGCTCCAACTTCCAGAATCCCAATCCGACCCCGATATCAATAAGTCCACCCCCGGTCAAACTTCCTAAAAATTCAACTTTAGCCATTTCAAGCCTAATTCCACTACGGACCTCCAAATCAATCCGGACACGCTGCATTCCGGAGTCGTTTACACATAAGTCAGCATCCGGTCAACCATTCCAACCTAAGCTTTCCATTATGAGACTAAGTGTCTCAATTCATTCCGAAATCATTCCGAACTCGAATCGACTAACCCGATAAGTCATGTAACAGCTATAAAGCAAATAAGGAGCAGGAAAATGAGGAAACGGGGCTACAAATTTCAAAAAGATCGGCCGGGTCGTTACAGCCATGCGGAGCATTAGTGGGGAAATCCAGAGTGCTCAACTTCTGTCAAGAAGCCAAAAATACACTGCTGCCTCGCACTATGCATCGCATTAGTGCAAATTCCTCAAAGTACCGATTTTTCTTAATTTTTGATATCCAGATGTGGTTCTTGGCCCCCGAACACGATCCCGACTTAATCCCTTGGGCTTTACTCAGACTTCAAAGCTCCAAATAACTCGAATTCATTCCATAACATCTACTAGCTCGGAATCACTCCAACAAGGCATAAAACACACAATAAGTATAAAACACTAGCGATTAAAGCTCAAACCCCATAAAAGTGCAGTAAATTAGAGTGCAATAAGCGGCTAAAATACGAGATTATAGCCTACCATCATAGTACATTGGGTCGCTATACTATGCACTTCTTGTGCATATTTTGGTACTGGTCTCAACTGTACGTGAGGTGCATCAGCTCGGATTGGCATATTTGGAGAATTGAGGTAGATCTGCTGGCATCCGCAGACCTTAAGTCCCCTTCCTCTTTCCTTATTTACTGTTCATTTTATTTGAAACGGTTGTATTATTTAAGACTCTATTTGTAGAACTTCTATTAGCTCGTGCACTTGCGACTCCAGATCCGAGATTATACTTAGACATATTTGGTTGTTTTACCTTTTCGCACAACATTTCAGCTTTATTTCAGTTTAAATGGCTTTAATTACTTGAAATGTTTAAAATGGCAAATGATTTACACTAACGTTGGCTTGCCTAGCGAGTAGAATGTTAGGCGTCATCACGGTCCCGAAGGTGGGAATTTCGGGTCGCGACACAACAACAACATCATTAGAAAATTGACAGTGATAAATTTGTATGGTACAACAGCATACAAATTAAAAATAAAATTTCATACAAATTTGATACATCTACAACAATATATAAACTAAAAAAAAAAATTTATACAACTAATTATATAGTATAGAACTTATCTACAATTTCATACATTATTTTTACATAGTTAAATACATCTACAACATTATATAACTTAAATATAATTTTCATATAAATTTTATACAATATATCTTTTGTATATATTTTGTATATGGTGTGTTCTTCTTACTCTCTAAAATTCCAATTAAAACTTTATCCCTTAATACAATTTTGATACATATCAACAACTTTATGTAAAAAGATAGTATTTATAACTTATATACAAATTTCTTACAATGATTCATTCTTCAATCTGCAATTCGGCAAAATCAAGTCTAATTTTCACCAAACACCTTCAACATTGATATATAAATTCCAAAAAATATTCTTAATTGTTTGCGACAACACCCAATCCAAACAAAGAATGGTTTTTTAAAACTCAAATGCAAATTCAAAGCTTCGAAGCTTTTTAATGATTGTCAATGGTAGATAATCAAACACCTTCAAAATTTATTTATTGACAATTTTAATTCGAACATCAATTGTGCAACATGAAAGGAAATTCTAAAGTTAAAACTCTATAGTAAAACGATTGAAACCAATTGATGAATTCCATTAAAACTCTATACAACAAGAAAGCATGAAAAAATAGAGAACATCAAAGTTAGAAAAATTGGGGAACAAACAGAGGAGGAGAGATAGAGAGACGAAGGGAGAGAGACAGAGAGAGAGAGGGATAGGTATAAAGGGATAAGAAATAACTGATATTCCTTATTCAATTTTTAATATAATGGGATACTCGTTTAAAACTTATTTGTATATAATTGATAAATTGTATATAACCATGTAATTAAGTTAGATATTAATTAAATAGGATAATAAAGTTTCATAAATAGTATAGGTTAGGTAAAAACCCCAAGTTAAAAAGCAAGCCTAGTAAAGCTATCGCATCACATCTAAATGCTCTTTTGACCCTAAAAATATCTATTTGCACCGCAGCCCTACTATATCATGCGCACTCACATCATAACTATTGGTCAAATAGATTGATGTCCTTATTATAATAAAAAGATTCCTCTCCTACATTTAATAATCACTTGCATTATTAAGTTCAGACAAAATATCTGCAACGAAGATAAAAGTTGACCCTTGACCCACACTTAATAGGTTATTCTGTTACTTCAAAAGTACGAATTGATCAAATCATCCTAGCTAATCTTAAATAATTAATTTTAACTACTCCCTTGAAAAGAAAGGAACGAAGAATGAAGGAAAAGTAACAAACACTGCCTTCTATCCACACAATAGATTAAACAAACAAAAAGAAAACGAAAATTTGAAGAACAAAATTAAACTTAAGGGAAATAATAAAAATAGTTGCTCATTTTGCAGGTGTCTAAGTGAGAGGAACATCAGGGTGACCTTCAGTATCCTTATCTCCTCTTCCATGTTTATATTGTGGGACCACCTGCATAAGGATAATTAACTTAATTATCTTTAATGACTTATCCAAATACATATCTCTTTTAGAATAATATTCATAGTGGAGTATATAATTATACATGCTGTCATATGGAACTAGACCAACGTAGCAAAATAAGACATGTTTAATTTTTAAATATGGGGGAGAGGTTGACGTTAAGGTATATATGAAACTAAAACGAACCTGATCTTGTGAGGAAATGTCAGATGACAATCTTCTACTAGTTTTCTTCTCATCTATTCTGCTTCCGCTGCTCATGTTGATATCTTAGCATTTTGCAACATTTAAAAAAAATGATCAGACCAAATGTTCAAAGGCAACACTTTGTATGTCAGCTACACATGTAACACGTCAAAATTTGTATTTATCTTAAAAATTCATTAAATATGTATATATTATTAATTTAAAACTTAGTAACTTAAACAGACCGTAATTATAAACTCATAAAATGTACCTTATGTATATGTACGATGTACACAAAAAAAAGATGAAACATGCATTCGGGTTTCGCGTTTTTCTCTTAGGCCGTCCCAGTTTTGGACAGCGAATCAAAAACGTTGCTGCTAGTACTCTCACAAACCAAGAAAAATATCTTCGCTATTGTTTTTATTCTTAATTTTGAGTTAAAGTTGTACTCGTTGCAGGGCGAAATAGCCTAGTAAGCCACTAATTATAAACTTGTACATGCCAGTTTTTAAAGCCGACTAACAAAATCCTACTACTTTTTTTTTTTTTTTTTCATTTTAACACCTCAAATCAATAAAATGCATATCAATGAACATCTCCAATAGAACGTGTATCTCAATGGTAATGACATATATGATAAGGTACTTACAAGTAAATAGCTATGATAAATATATACTCCAATCGTAAACATTGTAAAAAAAAAAAAAAAAAAAAAAAAGAGAGAGAGAGAGAGAGAGTTTAACTTATATAATTCAAAAATATACAATAATTTTTACACTATCAAGTTTCTAACTAAAAAACAACTACTATAATCATCGGTAAAAAAAAGTAAGTGGTGTAGCTTGGAAAATAATAAGGCAGGTGGATTAACTGGTAATTAAAATATAATTATAGTGTAAACATTCTTTATTATGTCAGCATATATATAAATAAAAATAATGCAACTAACCTAATGTCACATTAAACTAGAGTAATAATGTAAAAGATCTTAACACAACTTGTACATATAACTTAAATCCTTTGTTTTTTTAATTATTCGTTTAATTATCATTGGTGGAAATGGTCAAGGGAGCCTAGAGAGAGCGTGGTAAATCATCTTTCTAGATCGCATAATGATTACCCGTTTTTAATTTGAACGATGCAAGAATCCCAGCTAAGTTGCACTTTATCTTATTTGTTTTTTTTTTTTTTTAATCTTTCTCAAAACCGCACAAAACACAAATTAAGAACTGGAGAATCATATTTATAATGAGTATATATACCTGAAGTAGAAAATCTACGACGTCTTTGGTTAGGTGTATCAAGTGTTGAATCTGTACTGTCAGGCAAATGGCGGTCCAGTGGGAGAAACAGCTGGCCGGCGTTAACGTTATTATTATTCTCCAACATTCCTCGAACAAACGATGCCTCTATTGAATTCAAGAAATGAACATGCCTTTCATTTGTCCAGTACAAACTTCCTTTACCATCTTTCTTCTTCTTCTGATCCATGTATATACAACTATTCCGCCGGAGAAACTACTACCGGGTACGTAGATTCAGGCCGGGGTGTTACCGGATGACAGGTGGTTGGCCTGTTTCTCTTCTAAGCCTATTTTGGATATTCAGGGCTTTTTATAGGATAATATAATCTGTACAATATTCTTGAGGGCTAAAAAACACTTATTTGCATTCAATATTTATACCACACTAGTGAATACAAAATATGATTCTCGCATACACATTTTATTATTAAACTTATTTTTTACTTTAATTTTTAACTGCTAAATTAAAATTATATTATTTCATTCTGTGTAAAAGATTTGTGCTGATAATTAATTATTTACCATGGTGAGGTGGGGTATGCCATATACGTATATCGTTGTGAAACATTTAAGCCACTATTGCACTTGGGAAAGCTAATATGAAGAGAGTAGAGCAAACATCTACTCTCTCTTTCGGTACAACATGTTGAGTCTTCCCTCACCTTCTTGGAAATTATTTCTTTTATTGAGCATACAATGGCAAAAGGGTGCCCAAAATTTTGTAGCAAAATAGGAATATCGCACGAGCAGAATTGGTTGGTTACATGTTGCATTCGCTTGTAGACATATCTCTTTTAATTTGTAGGAAATGAATACAATCTGTTGCTTCCTCATATCAATTCATATCTAAGATATTGTAGAGACCTGGCAATTACCACCGCGACCTTGTTGTCTTTTTACTCTCTCTCTATTCTAAGTAAAGAAGAAAATGATTTTATTGAGCTTTATGTATTTATGTGTATTAGTAGTGATTAGTTGTAACTACTTAGTTAGTTGGAAGTAGTCTACGCATGTGTCTATATATATACTTGTACAATACATATTGGAACATTCTACACACTGTGAAATACAATACATCTTCTGTAGCTCTCTCTCTCTCTCTCTCTCTCTCTCTCTCTCTCTCTCTCTCTCTCTCTCTCTCTCTCTCTCTCTCTCTCTCATCCGTTTTCATGGAGCTCATCGCAAAACTCCATTGTTGCTCACCTTGAGCTCTTATCATCTTGACATGGTATTAGAGCACGAGAGCTCGTAATCCCCGAAATTCCTGATTTTCATATCTACTTCTTTGTCTTTGCCCTAATATCTTCGACAATTTCGATTTGCCCTAATTTCGAACAAAAATTGTGCAAGTTAGCGATTTGCCCTCAATTGTTCACATTCTCTCGTTCGATTTCACCTCTGTTCTACTTTCTCTCGTTTGATTTCATCTCCTTATTTTTTAGATGGTTATTCTCTATCAGAGTGACTCGACTGATGTCAATGCACATGCAAGTGCAGTTACGGCGACGGGTGGAGTTGCTAATGCTGTTTGACATTAACAACCCTCTTTACCTTCATCCGTCTGATAACCCTGGGGCTATGCTGGTTTCTACACCTTTTAATGGAATTGGATATCGCTCATGGCGGCGTAATGTTATGCGAGCCTTATCCGTTAAGAACAAGCTTGGTTTTATTAGTGGAGAGTGCAAACGACCGGATTCTCAGCCTACCGATTATCGCCGGTGGGTGCGATGTGACGATATGGTCACTTCATGGATCCTTAATTCCCTTACGAAGGACATCGCAGATAGTGTTGAGTATGCAAATGACGCTATTGAATTGTGGACAGAACTGGAAGATTGTTATGAGCAAACTAATGGTGCTACACTGTATCAAATCCAGAAAGAGATAAATGATCTGACTCAGGGAGCTCTCGATATCACGAACAATTATACCAAAATGAAGGAACTTTGGGAAGAATTGAGTAACCTGAGTATGAAAGCACATTGTAATTGCCAGTGTAATTGTGGTGCCAAGGAAAAATTATACAAGGCAGAGCATGATAGGCGCTTGATCCAATTTCTTATGGGACTGAACGAGAAGTGCGTGGAAGCATTTTAATGATGAATCCTCTCCCTTCATTAGCACAAGCTTTTTCCTCACTCATTCAAGATGAGAAACAAAGGGAGATGCGACCCTCCAATGAACCGGTTTTTGAGTCCACTTCTCTTCAGGTGAATGCACAGGGAAATGTCAATTCTAATACTCAAGGGAATGCTAACTTCAGAACAAACTATCGTGCAAATAATCACTCCATTGGAGGAAGAACTTCACGTCATTTTTGCGACTATTGCAAAACTGTAGGACACACTAGAGATAGATGTTACAAACTGCACGGCTATCCCTAGAATTGCACTCCAAATCCTAGAGCTAATACTAAAGGGAAACGTATCATGGCTAATGCACATGCCGCACCTACTGAGGAGTTATCTGTTAAGGAAGATGGTTCAAGCTCACAGGACAAGCAGCACAATGTGGCAACTATTGGAATCACAAAGGAGGAGTATGGTCAGTTAGTAAACCTGCTTCAGCACCTTTAAAGTACCAACAGAGAGGACTCTGCTGACACTCACCTGAGCAGTGGAGCAGTCAATTTTGCAGGTATTATGGCTTGCTCCTCTTCTGTTAGTCATGGCAATTCTCATTGCAAATGTTTTAGAACTATGTCTGGCGCATGGATAGTGGATTCTGGTGCCTCACACCACATGACATACAATAAATCTCTTTTCCTTGAAACTAAACCTTTGTGTTATCCCCTGTTAGTTGCATTTCCAAACGATTATAAGGTCAAGGTGACAAAAGTTGGTAGTGTTGCACTTACATATCAAATCACCTTGCATAAAGTTCTCTTTGTCCATGCTTTTAAATTCAACCTCATTTCTGTCTCCTCTATGACTGCACATCTAAACTCTCTGATTGCCTTTACTGCTTCTTCATGTCTGCTGCAGGCCCCTTCAATGAAGAGGCCTCTGGCGATTGGTAAGATCAAAGGTGGTCTGTATCTCTTATGTTCTCATTGCTTGGATAATGGTAGCTCAATTTCTAATGTTTCTGTTTCCTCTACTCTACTTCCTCATTGTGATGTAAATACTCCACAGTGTCAATCTCTTTCACCTGTAAATAGTTCCACTGATAATAAGACATAGTCCACTGCTTTGCATTCTTTTAATATTTCTCAATGCTCTTCCATACCTCGTAATAATAATGTAGATGTGTTGTGGCATAACAGACTTGGGCATGTCCCTTTTGTTAAGATGAGAAACATTTCTACTATACCAGTTACTTTTTCTTCTAAGCAATCTTTTCTTTGCTCCATTTGTCCCATAGCCAGGCAATCCATATTGCCCTTTCCCCAAAGATCCAGCATTTCCACCAAGCCATTTGAGCTCTTACACGTGGATCTGTGGGGTCCTTATCATGTTCCAACCAATAGAAATCAGAAATACTTCCTCACTATGGTGGATGACTAAAGTAGAGCCACATGGACTTGATCGCTGCCAACTCCGCACCACCAAAAAGTAGCGAGAGAGGGTCGCAATAGCTTTTACTCGATTTTGGGTCGGGATCAAATCCACAGGGAGCTAGGAAGGGAGTCGAGTATCTATTTAGCTTAGGATTGCACATGTGCTCTTAATTGATCTTCTCATAAATTTTGGGGTTTTCTTTATATTCTACTATGATCAAACTACAAATTGTAATTGCAACTAAATTAGACTAAGAGTAAATTGCTACAAGTTGTATCTAATGGTTTAAAAGGCGCTAGGATAGTGACCTTCACCTAGTTGGCTAATTGACGGGTAATTGCATCTAAGGCACGATTGACATGATTGGGGAAATATGTTATAACCGTTGCTCAATACTACCCACTCTACACCTCTCGGTAGAAAGAGTGGTTTTGCCTAATTGACTCTCTCGAGACCAATTGGGTATGCATAATTGCCCAAGCAACTAGGGTTCAAGTCGGGTAATTACTCTCTCGAGGTTTAACCCTTTAATTGGGACTATCAAATCTCTTGAGTCCATCCCAATTCCTTGTTGAATCAATTTTGGAGACTTAGGCTCTCTTTCTCAAGAAGAGCCCAAGTCTACTAAGCACAAACTAGTGTTTGCAGCCACTAATTCATAAATTAAACCATAAAATTGACCCAAATAACAAACACCCATAATCAATCTAACCTTAAATTACAACACCCATCAATTACCCACACTAGGGTTGAGCCACAACCCTAGCTAACGGGTTTAGCTACTCATGCTTGAAGATAAAATCAGAGAAATAGATGAAGAGAAAGACATATTAATTAATTACTAAAGTAAATACAGGGTTTCAATGATTAAAACTACGTAAAGATGCCAAAAATAGCTAAGAAAGGTCTTCTCACGAGCGCAGCTACAGTGCTAAAATATGTGATACCCTAAAAATAAAAAAAGGTTCTATTTATACTAAGCTGGAAAAATTGGACAAAATACCCCTGCGGGGTCAGTGCGGGCCGCACAAAATGGACTGCGGCCGCACTAGGCTCTTGGACTTGAAATCTTGGCTCTCTGAACTCACGCTCCGCGGACCGCGTAGGATGGACCGTGGTCACGGAGGTTTCTAATGCGGTCCGCACAAACATGACCGCGGACCGCGCTGGCTTGAACCTTGGCAAATTACATCTCTCTGATCTTCTCTTCCGCGGACCGCACAGAATGGTGGTGCGGTCGCGGTGTCTTCAGTGCGGGCGAATCTCTACTGCGGCCGCACTGCTTTGATGCCTTGAAAAACCACTCTCTGAATCTCCCTAGTGCGGACCGCATTGAATGGACTGCGGCCGCACTAGGCTAGTTTGTCCTGAGTATTCTTTGTCTTTGATACTTGTGCAGGTTTCACTCCTTTTGAACTGATATTTGACATCCCGTCACTTTGTTGATCAAACCTGCAATCAAGCACAACTTATGAGCCTTTTGGGACTATTTTGTAAGAATTTATAATCAAAGCGTAAGCAAGAAGGAGCATGAAACACATCAAAATCCCTAGTTATCAACTCCCCCAAACTTAAGCTTTTGCTTGTCCTCAAGCAAACAAAATAAGACTCACCCCTTGATGTAAAATCCAAAAATTTTCAGCTATCCTAAAGTAACCTCAACTAGCATCAATTGGGACTAACAATTGCCCTCGACTCACATGAGTCATTGACAATATTTAACCTTTGAAAAACCATGGATCAAGTGCGACACAAGAGCATCAAGAGTTGGCTCAACACATCAAAGAACTCTTTCAGTTACTTTGGTCATTGTGGAACCCAAACTCACACATCCTCAACTCTCCCTAAGCAAACCTCACCTTTAGAATAGTGGCACA